CTAGGAAGAGAAGCACCCACTGATAAGAACACTTTCATCCTTTTAAGTCTTTATGTGGTCAAGAAGTAAGCTTCCATTACACGAAGCCAATGACATTATGGGGTTCATTACAGCATTTAGACTAACCCTACCTAATACAGAAATCAACATGCACAAGCTCTAATTAGGACAATGCTCCCAATCACCTCCTGGCTTCCTGGATGCTACATCTATGCCACATCTATGCAGTTACCAAGGCTGTGGGTTTGTCCATCTTCCTAGAATGCTGCTAGAAAAGCAACAAGAGGTTGGTTCTCTGCTTATTGGACACCAGGCAAGTTATAGTTCCCAAAAAAGACTAATTCAAAAAAAGGTTGCTGTGCCACTCAGTGTTATCGTTTCAGTGATAAATGGGAATTTGAAGGTGTCACAAATGGAGAAGGCTATTAGAGACTGGGAGAGCAACTGCAGAGACCCTTCCGGCAGGAAAACTAAAAGAGGCAGGAGTGAAATAGCTGTTGTCCTCTATTTGGACTCTGTCCAAAGAGGCTAAGGAAGGAGGCTCCAGGAGCCATATCTGGCAGGAGCAGGGAGAGCCTCTGTTGGTAGTGGCTCCTGCTTTATCTCACACAGCCGGCTGCTTTGTCACAGTTGACTATGGAATAGCAACAGGTTCCCCTGGATACTGGGAGGCCCTGGCAAGCTAGTCTGTGTCATGGTGAGCACATAGAAGAGAGAACCCAGCACACCTCACACAATACATTTATTCTGACTCTTCACTTATCATTAGCTGTACTGAAATAGCTGGTGCCTTACAATTGTCTGTTCAGTCTATGTTGCTTTTTTCCTGAAATAGAAGTACTAGAAGTTCATATGATATAAATTGAATATCATTTTCCACAGAAACAATATAATAGGGATATGATTCTAGCAAAGGCCTGATCCACTATTTATAGACATTGCCTGGTAATCAACGTGCCAATGAGAAAAGATATATGCACCCTGCACAGAGGAAAGCTTTCTAAGGTGTCTATAAATCAAGTAGGACAGTGAAGTAACCAACCATATAAAACCTCTGAAAAATTTATGTAAGAGGGTCCCTGGGGCTAGGAAGCCGAGTGCCAGCCTCGCTGGTTGAGAGACACCACCTGGATGTTGCAAAATGTCAGGAGGTCAACCATGCCATGTTGTAGGGGGGAGTCATCAAGGTTCTGTATGCTGAACCATGTCAGTCAGAGGTTGAATGGAGGCCTCAGCCATCAGGATTCTGGGCACCTTTATGAAACATTCCACACCTCATCACAGGGTTCTGGAGCACTGGGGTTGCTGAGAGCTGATTGGCCACAGAATGTTCAAATAGGCCTTTAAACACAAACAGCATTGTCTTCATGTTCTCTGGGCCCTCACGTAGCTACTGAATTAACTGGGCTTCATTGCAGGCCAGATTCTTTGGAATTTTATACCCCTGGAATGAAAAGGAAGTCCTTGGGTGACACAACAGTTAATGTGCTCAGCTGCTAACCAACAGGTTGGCAGTACAAGTCCACCCAGAAGTGCCTCAGAAGAAAGCCCTGGCAATCTGCTTCTGAATGCTCAGGCATTGAAAACTCTGCTGAGCTCAGTTCTACTCTGACACACGTGGGATCTCCATAAGTCAGAATCGATTCTGTGGCAACTGGGTTTGTTTGTTTTCGGTTTTGAATGAAAAGAGACCAAACTCAAAGGCCTGGGGTCTTTTTAAAATCTCCAATCATCAGCATCCACACAACACTGTCTTCAGGAAACTACAAAAATGGAACACTCGGAAAAAAAAAAAAAAAAAAGAAGAAGAAGGAAGTCCAAAAGACATCCACTTGGAGAAGAGACTTGCCACTGTTTCTTTCGCTCTGTTGTGACCGTCCGCTCGCCACAGGCTCCTATGGAGCATCAGCGGGCTTTATGCATCTCACCCTGGTACCTGTGGGTTTTGTCTTGGAGGTTAGGAAAAGCCTGTCTTGGGATTCTTCAGGTAGGAATGGCCTATGGCTTGCATATAATATAACAAAGTTATCTGCTGGAGATGGCCAACATGGCAATGCTGTTTCAACTTCACATCTCATGCAGATACGAAATCTTCTCAAAGGAGAAGAAAATAATATGAGATTAGTTTATTCAGGTTCAAAAAAACACATCCCCAGTGCTTCCAGAACATACTGATAACAACAGTGATGTGGCCTGTACTTGTGAGAAGGCACAAGCCCAGAGCTGTGGGTCTGTTATTAACTTTCTGTCCACATGATAAAAATACCTCATATGTATGTAGCATTTTGCTCTTTATAAAGCAATTTCACATTGAGATCTTGATTTCTTTTAGGCCCTGTGTCCTATTGTACAGTCCAGTGGGCTCATGCAGTGTCTTTGGCTACAATAAGGCTCAGTTAGCAACTATTTTGCTTGCAGGTCCATGAGGATCTCAAACCAAAACTAGGAAGAAGATGTTGTTGTTGTTGTTGTTGTTATGTGCCGTCGAGTCGGCCCTGACTCATAGCGACCCCTCCTTGGGTTTCCGAGGCAGTATCACTACGGAAGTAGGATTGCCCAACCTTCCTTCCGAGGAGTGGCTGGTGGGTTTGAACCGCCAGCCATCTGGTTAGCAGGCAAGTGTCTTAGCCACTATGCTACCAGAGCTCCCAGGAAGAAGATAGTCCCCCTTTAGTCCCCCTTTTTCACAAGTCATTTTCACTATAACTTCCTGCTCAAGCTTCAAGCTTCTTAAGGATCTTTGGATATCTGTGGAGAAAGGGCCATTCTGGCATTTGGCCAGTTAATTTGGGAGGACTGAGCTATATGGGAAACGGTGAAGATTTCAGCAGAGAAGGAAGGACCGTAGCATTCCAGCTTCCTCTTCACAAGGGAGGAAACAGGCCTAGGGAGCTCCCTGTCAGCCTGTGCTCTCCCTGCACCAGTTGAACAAAGTAACAGAGAGATTTCTGGGGAATATACACCATGAACTGCCAGGGCTCCTTAATTACATTTCAGAAGAATCAACAAATTTGTCTTGGAAGAAGTACAGCCAGAATGTTCCTTGGAAGGGAGACTTTGTCTCACGTACTTTGCACATGTTATCAGGAAGTACCAGTCCCTGGAGAAGGACATGCTTGTTAAAGTAATCCAAAGCCAAAACAAACCCACTGCCATCGAATTAATTCCTACTCATAGTGACCCACATTGGGTTTCCAAGGCTGTAAATCTTTACAGAAGTAGATGGACTCATCTTCTTCCCACAGAGCAGTTGGTGGATTTGAACCACCGATTTTCTGGTTAGCAGCCAAAAGCTTTAGCACTATGCCACCAGAACTCCTTATTAAAGTAAAGCTGAAAAAACCAAACTCACTGCCATCAAGTCGATTCTGACTCAAAGTGACTCCCTTTGTGTTTCTGAGGTGGTAAATCTTTGCAGAAGTAGATTGCCTAGTCTTCCTTCCACAGAGTGGCTGGTGGGTTTGAACCACCAACCTTCTGGTTAGCAGTCAAATGCCTTAGGCACTATGCCACCAGAGCTCCTTTTGTTAAAGTAAAGGGTC